AATCAAATGTAGATTCTCCTTATTATCTCTGAACTTCTCCATCAAACCTCTCAATAAATGTATAGCTTCCATAGTAGACCTGCTCGGCATAAATCTGAATTGATTATGAGAAATCTTTGTAATACGTCTTAACCTATGTTCAATTACCCTCTGCCATAATTTTAAAGTATGACACATCAATTTAATTCCTCTATAATTTGCACACTCTTGTGCATCCCCTTTGTTCTTAAAAATAGGGACCAAAATACTCTTCCTCCACTCCTCAAGCATCTGTTTAGTTTTTAAAATAATATTAAAGAGTTTCGTAAGCCAAGAAACTCTCAAATCTCCTAAATATTCTCATACTTTAATTGAGAAATCATCAGGTCCTACAAAATTTTCACCCTTGGTTTTCTTTAAAGCCTCCTGAACTTCTTCTTTACTAATGCGACCATAAAAATGAACTGTTTTATTATTATTAATGATATTAAGATCATTAAGGTTAATCGTATTTTTAGAAAATTCATTAACAAGTCATTAAAAAGTTTATCAAAATAACTCACCCACCGATATTGAATATCTTTTTCTAAAAAAAAACATTTTTTTTTATTTTTCATCTTTAATACAATTTACTTAAGTTAAATCTTTACTTTTCTTTTTTCTTTGTTTGACTTGCTTATACATATATTTTTCACCCTCTTTAGTATTTAATTTTTTATAAAGATTATTAAAAACATAATTTTTAACATCACCGATTAAGTATTATAAATTATTCTCTTTTAGACTCTCTGCGGGCCGTTTGATATTTTTTCAATTATCTAAGATTTTACATTTAAACAAATTTTTATAACATAACTTCTTATATTTTATCTTTTATTGCACATTATTATTCAACCACCAACTATTTTTATCTAAAGAAACTTTTTCTTTTGATTCTCCAAGTACATCTTTGGCTACTTGTTTAATAATGTTTGCTACTTTATCCCACATAACATTTGTTTTATCATGAACATCCTAAATTTTGAAATCTTAAATTTTAATCATAAAAATAATTTTATTTGTGTCTTTTAGTTTCCCCCATCTAATTATACGATGATAAGTCATAGTATTCTTTCTTTGCATCTTTTTATCTTAAAATCTAGAACTAATAAATAATGTTGGGTACTTAAATCCTCATTTGGAATGACCTCTTATTCTCATTAGAAAATAATCAATTTGTGTTTTATTAGATCCATTCTTATAAGTAATAAGATGCACCTCTTTTTTCTTGAATAAAGTATTAGTAATAACAAAATCATACGCTAAAGAAAAATCTAAAATAGTTCTACCTTCTTCATTAGTCACTCCAAAACCGTAGCCACCATGAATATTTCTGAATTATAAGAATTTATAGACATGAAGAAAAAATCTGATAGACGATCTAACATGAATTATTTTTACTAATTGGTCATCATGCAATTTCTCAAGCATACAAAATAATAATTCCAATTTATAATCAATCCAATCTACCATTGCAGAGAACGCAAAAATTATATGCTAAAAAACATACATTACAATCTATTTAATAACCAAACTTTATAGAAATTTACCTCTCGGCCAACATTGCTGAACCTTCTTCGAATAATTCTTCTACCACACCAACAGCAGACAATTTCTTCGCCAGATTGCTGGGAGAATCTCGCGACTTTTTTCTGAAACCTAAGCACTTTAGTTTATTTAATTCTTTCGGTGGTGATGGAGGCCCTTCTATGAAATCATTCGGTGGAATCAAATCAACAACAATGCATGTTGTGTCATCTTTCAGCCCCCTTGACCTCAGTGCTTCCTAAAAGATTGCATATCAATCAATTCCTATGTATTTAAATATGTAACACCGAAACTTCAATTTTAACTTATATACCACTTCTCCTATGCATGAAAAATGTATTCCACTTTTTAAAAGTTAAAAAATTGACATTTTTTATGTGATATGAAATATTTGTCTGGTATAAATGTAAAAAATTTAGACGTTAGATATGTAAATACATAGGCATTTGGTGGAACATATGTAAATGCCCCAGTAAGGGAATAAAACCAACCTTTACGACTTGTCGAGCAGCAAGCTCTGCAGTCAACCCGCGACAACATTTTGCAGCAATCTCAGATGGTAATGCATCCCAAATGCCATCTGAAGCAATTATTAACCTTCCCCCTGTTTTCGCTAACTGATGCAAAAATGAAACTTATATCAGTCCAAAAGCATAATTAATAAAAGGAAGGCTTACATACATACCACTAAATTTACATATCTAACACCTAAACTTTAATCTTTACAAATATGCCATCACACCTTTATATGAAAAGGTTTTTAAAATTCAAAATAGTGCTATCTTTTATGTGATATGAAAGATTTGGGTGTGTGACATAAATGTAAAAAGTAGAGTTTAGGTGTTAGATAATGTTGATACGTTAATGCATAAGAATTGTGTGTTGTGTGTGTAAATGCCCTGAAACAAGTTTTCTCTCCCACACTGTTGAAATTTAGAATAATGCGGAATGCTTGATTTATTGATGCAAAGTGGGGTATAGATACCTATTACAAAGTTTATTGATAAATAAAACAATAAAAACAAATACGGTAGAAAAGAAAATGAATAATAACAAAATATAAGAGACAGCTAATATCTTTAATTAAGGGGAGAAATAAATAGAGATTCTCAATATCTCTCATATATTTACAACTCTCTAAATATAGAGTTATAACAAATATGAAATATAATCATTAGTATTTTCGAGATCTTTCAACACTCCCCCTAAGTTGAACATTGTTGAAATCATATTCAACTTGAATTTGAAAACATCGGTTGTGATATGCTGACTGGACAGCTAGCATCAATTTGCTAAAAATTTCCAACAATCCTCAAATCGTAAGTGCCGAACCCGAACCCGAAATCGAGAATGTCGAAGCCTAAGAGTGCCGAAGTCTGAGAGTGTCGAAACTTGAGAGTGCTGAAGCCTGAGAGCGTTGAAGCCTGAGAGCTCCGAAGCCGAGAATGCCGAAGCCTGAGAGTGTCAAAGCCTGAGAGTGGTCGAAGGCTGAGAGTGGCCTAGATGAGGGCTAAGGTCAATTTCGAGACATTGATGAATTTGAAAGTCACCGATTGACTGATAATTACATGAAAGCTGCAGAAAAGCTGTAGGTAGGCTGTAGGAAAACTGCACGGAGGCTGCAGGGAGGTTGCAGGAAAGCTGCAGAGGACCAACGACAGTGCTTAGGAAAGTTGTAGTGCTCGGAGATGATTGCAATAATGTTGCAGGAAAGAGCAGTGCTTTCCTTGGGAAGAGTTGGCCAAAATATGCAGGGAAAAATTTGTTGAGGTATATCCGACAGTGAGAAAAGCTGCACTGCATGAGGGAGGTCCGACGGCGGGAAAGGCTGCAGGGGAAAGAACCGACTGCAGAAGTAAGCCCGAAGGTCGAGTCGGCAACAGATATGTCCGTAGGAAAATATGGTGGCTAGAAAGGTCGCAGGAAGTTCTGGAGGCAGGAAAGGCAGCAGGAGGGAGTTCCAGTGGCAGGAAAAGTCATCAAGAGATAGGTACGGCTATCAGCAGGGAATAATTTCCGGTGGAGGAAGGTTTGTTGCTAAGAAGATTCAATCAATAAAATTTGAACAAAGGAGTTCATGCAAGGAGAAGTCTGGTGCTCAGAAGAACAGGAGGAGCTCCAGAGGAGGGCCTACAGATTAGCCAAAAAGGATGTGGGCAGAGATTCGATTGAGAGCATGTAACAGAAAAAGATCCGGACAAGAAGAAGAGATCAGGCAAAGGGCCTGAAGAACTTGGAGAGGATTGGTTGTAGCTTGCTACAGCTTTTTGCTTATGGGATCACGAGGAGATCTTGTTGTTGCTACTATAAGGAGAGGATGCAGGCAGAAGAGGGCCTGCAGTAGGAAGGTTCAACATTCCAAGGAGAGCGGTTTCCTGGAAGGAAATCGGGAGAGCCCCTGCAACCACATAATGAGTTTTAGTAGTAGGAAATTGAAGATTTTGCAAGGAGATCGGACGAGGCGGACTGCAGGAAGATCTAAGCAGGAAGGAGATCTTACTGGGAATTTCAGGAGGAAGGAAACCTTGCATTAGGTATTGAAGAGGCCAATAGAAGGTTCTGCGTAAGAAATAACAGCAGGGGGATCTTGCTGAAATTGTAGGGAAGTCCGTTAGAAATTGCAGAAGAAGGATCCAGTAGTTTACGAATTTGGCTGGCAGAAAGAAGAAGTTTTCCACCAGAACTTCCATGTTTATCCACATTTCCTCCTTCATTTTGGTTAATAAATTGCATGCAAGTAGGCATACAGATGCATGAATTCCCTACAGTATGCTTCTCCATCAACTCACTCTCTGGGTCGATCCCAGAACAGTCGTCGTAAGGTGAAAAATAGGGCAGGCGGTGAAACTCCTCCATCTAGGCCTTGACCTTCTTCTGCGCGCCATATCCACGGAGAAAACTCATGGTAAAGGTAAGCGGCGTGGCGGAGGAAAACGCGCCTCGTTTAGAATCCCAATACGAAGGAATCAAAATGGAGTGTGTGTGGCGAAGCGAAGGGTAGAGATAGCAAAATCAGAGGACCAATCTACGAGAGCGAGGCGGTGTTGGTCGCCACTGAAAACTTCTCTTCTTCTTATGAATCATGAGGCCGAATCATGAGGCTAAGAATCTCATGAAGAACCTCTAAAGGCAATTGTGAATAACATGTTTTCTTGCTTGTTAATCTTCCCCACAATAACAATAAATAAGTGGAAAACATAAGCAACGGGCAAGAACTGCAACTTGTGATGCATTCAAAATGCTTAAGAAGTTGGGCCAATAAAATGGTTTTCTACAGCTCTGCTAAAAGCAATCAGCTTAAGCAGAGGCCTTAGCCTCTCATCTGCACGACATCCACTGATAACCTGAAGATCTAGCGCTTGAGGTCACTGTAAAATCCAATTCTCCACCTCCAAGGAAAGTTTAGAAATTCCGCAATAGACGGAGCTCTGAAATTCAGAATTTTTGTAGCAGAAGGAGTTGAAGACTCGCAAGAAGTAGCCGGAGGAAAACTTGATAGAAGCAGTTGAAGGAGGAAGAAGCAGTCTAAAATGTCGACAGTCGTACTATGACGAAAAAATGAAATCCCTAGAAGAGGAGTGACAGAAACAAATTTCTTTATTGCAATCCAACCTTTTGGTTGCAAGTGAAACCATAACTATCGATAACCGTGACGAACGGAGCTCCGGCGCATCATCGATGGACCAATGTTTGGACAACCGCTGCAACAAAAACGGATCCGAGAGCATCGCTCGGTTCGCTTCGCGGGAAACAAACAGAGATGTCCGTGCGGAGATAAATGTGCTCGATCGCTTGACGGAAGAATTCAGACGGAGAACCAAGGTTTTCGGGTATGATGCGAAGTTCTTAACAGAGGTTAAGTTTGGGAAGGAAGAAGCATATCTGGATCTGGAGAACGAGTTGAATCTCCCCCTCCTCGCGAAGGATGCCGGCAAGCATGCGGCCGAACTCATCGTCGCCAAGTTTGGACAATCGAATGATAAAGAAGCCCTTGATCTGCAATCTGCTTGATGAAAGAAGGAAAAGCGTCTTGCAAACAAACCACAGGAAGAAGGGAGATCTTCTTCCGACTCAAGATGCGTGCGTGAATGGGATGGAAGAGAACCCCTTGCAGCTCAGACGATCAAATGAGGAAGAAGCTCCTCGCGGCTTAGATGATTACGATCGAAGGAGGAAGAGGATTCTCGCAGCTCTCGTCTGAATCGAAGGGCGACATGAATATTGCAAAGGGTTCGAGCTTTTCAAGAGGACGAAGCAGTCGTTGAACCAATTGAGCGGTGAGCCAGTGGTCAGTGAACGATTCGAACAGCTCGAGATCGAGCAACTCCAAGATCGAGCAACACATATCAAGTGAATAGCTTCAAAATCGAGGTCTTCAGGTGAAGCAGAGGACTCCGAAGATTCAGATCCTCAATATTCTAAATATTTACGAGCTCACCGTGAGAGAATAAGAGTGCCCCTCCCTTCCTGCACAAAGGATGGCACGAAGGGAATCCGACAATTCTCGAAGAAAGATTGGTGGCTAGAGTATGAAATTAGGCTCTGATACCATGTTGAAATTTAAAATAATGCGGAATGCTTGATTTATTGATGCAAAGAGGGGTATAAATACCCATTACATGACTTACTGGTAAGGAAAATAATAAAAACAGAATATAGTGGAAAGAGAAATGAATAATAACAAAATACAAGAGACGGCTAATCTCTCTAATTAAAGAGAGAAATAAATAGAGATTCTCAAGATCCCTCATATAATTTATAACACTATATATATAGAGTTATAACAAATATGAAATATAATCATTAGTATTTTTGAGATCTTTCAACAATATTTACATTCAAAATGCCACAAAAGTCCAACCACTGATTCATGATATGTTACGTTGGCATCACTCAGAGCAAAAATATAATTTGCGTGCGAATTATTTATCAAAAAAGTAAGAATTTTTATGAAGAATATCCTTTAGGAAGCAGCTTAAAATACATAATAAAATGAATTAAAAAAGACAACTTTCAAAAGAAAAGAACATACCTTTACTTGCTTAACATGTGGTATGGGAACTATAAACTCTCCCACATCCATATCACCAATGGACCTGGAAAGGCACAACCCACCAGGCCAGCATCGGAGGGGGCCAATCTGTAAACAGAAATCATCATAAAAACAAAAATCAAATCACAGATGAAGTAATTTCCCATCCATAAATTCAGATTTCAGCATCTAGTAAACTCCCAATATAAGAACTCACCTCAGCGCCGCCCACAATACTAAGCCTTCCTACCTCACCTCCACTAGCAGTCACTCTCTCCCTCCTGCGGAAACAAGTTAAAAAAGAGTAAAATCAAACTGAATTGATAACACTCTAAATCTCTAAATCCAATCAACACGCACTCTTCAGCATTTTCTTCTAGTCTATGATCTACTGTAAGAAGGGAAACATCTCCCTGAGCATCCAGAATGCAACGAGAGTCACCAACCGAAGCAACAGTAATAGTCCAACCATCAATAATCACAAATGTAGCAGTAGTCCCAGAAGTTTGCCCTAATAATCAAAACCCAACTCAGCATCAGATCTTCAAAGCAAAAAAAAAAGAACATCAAGATTTCATAATCTGACAGCAAATCAATAGAAGAGAACTAGCCTTTGCTCTGAAACTCTTTGTCAGTCTTCACGAATCCTGCAACCAAAGCACGTGGAAGAGCGCTTAGCCACTCCTCCCTCCCAAGCCCTCGAGGAATAGCGCCAATTATGTGGTTCAGCAAATTATCCCTTGCAAAAATTGCAGCAGCATTGCCATTGTGCCCGTCAAAGATCTGCAAGTCCCTAACATCAGTTTTTTTCCAAAAAGAATCAACTGAAAACTACCATTCCTCAGCTCAAATCTAAAAAACCTAGGGAATTACTTTTCATTTAGCCCAATCGGGCATAGTATAATTATGAGGAATCCTACAAGATTTGAATTCAGATCGCAGTCTTACCGCGAAGACATGAAAGGCGGAGGAAGGATTCCCAGCTATTCTCTGACAGTCGGTCTTCACTAAGTAGTAGTCTTCCCCCTTCTTTGACTGCGCATACGCCGTCGAATCGGCCGCCGCCAGTAGAATTCGGCGCCGCCTTGACATCCCTTGATGCGCGGAGAGGGAGAGAGAGCGCAGCGGGGATGAATTGCTAGGAAGTCAGATCTGAGAGGAGACCAGAAGAGATGGGGAAGCAGAAGACAGAGATTGACGCGGTTTACAGGTGACGCACTGACGAAGTTTTCCGCCTAACAAACAAAACACTTACCGCTTACCTGCGGTGCCCGCATCCCCACTCATCTGAAATGGAAGACAAGGTAACGGCATAATTGAGGAGGCAAAATATTCAAAAATAAAAAATAAAATAAAATAAAAGGTTTTAAATGGTTGTAAAATTTAAAATGGTGAAAAATAAAAACAATTTGGATAATTTTTTTAAAAAATTAATTTTTGAATTTAAGCTTATTTATTTTTTTATTTTTATGAAAATAATTTTGAAAATTTCATTATATTTAAACACATAAATTCTTAAATTTACACATTCTACACATTAGAGCATATTTATATAAATTATTTTAAAAATGATTTATTTTGAAACACATGTAAATTTATAAAAAAAGTTTCTTTTGGAATTCATGTAGAAAGCACACAGAGAATCTATATGAAAGATACTACACGTGTATAGAGAAATCACAGAGAAAATCTATATGTAGAACACTTTGTTACCTTGCAACAACTTAAAGCGGACTGTCATTCGATGCTTGCTGGCTGAAGAAGAGGAAGATGATGAGTTCTTACGTGAGAGGATATCAATCAAGAAAGAGAAATGGAGATGGCGAGGGAGATCAAGTGGAACAGAGAGAGAGAGATGGAGGAAATAGTTTAGTAAAATCATCATATAATTATTTAGTAAAAATATATCATAGAAATAAGTTCATTTGATGTATGTTTTGGCCAAAAGATTCATAACTCAATAGATTTGCTTCTAAAATTTTCTAAAGAATTTACATAATATATCTAATACAAATAAAAGCATATTAAAGAACAGACATACTTAAACATTCAAATGTCTATAAAAGCTATGTAATACTCACTAAAAAATTAGGGCTTTCTGAAAGAGGATAATGTCAGTATCTACGTGAGGCCGAGCTATTTTCATCTAAGACTGTTTAGAAATCACGCAACAGTGCTGTTAATTCATTTAAAATCTTGAAAATAATTCAACCAAACACATGTATTATAGCTTTATTAGCAATATCTTTTTATATTTGAATTGATAGTATATAATGAATAATTTATAATACTTAGTGAGCTATTTAATCATTTATAATTTAAGAAATCTCCTTAGATCTAATACATTAAAATGAGGAAAATTAACACTTTTCTAATAAAAATAAATAAAGACTTGACATAAGGGCTATGCATCATGTATGTTTAGGGTTAATTATATCTTATGAATGTTAATTATTGACCAATTTTTAAGTATAAAATAAATTTGGGCAGAAAAAGTTATGATTTCTCAAAAAAAATTTAAATATGATATTTATAGCATTTTGGAGAAAGGGGAAGATAGGAATTTTCTATGAAAATTATTTATTTATTTATTTTAAAAGGGGTTTACAATTTTAAAATTTAAATAAAAGGAAAATTCATAAATACAAAATAACACATACTATGCATAGTTTAATCTTAGCCGCTTGCTTTCTAAGACTGGCCAACGATTAGGGCTGTCAAAACGGCTCATTATTCGCGAACAACTCGTGTTCGACTCGTTCGCTAAGTTAACGAGCCGATCACGCATGAACAAATATTTTTACGTTCGTGTTTGGCTCGTTTTGGCTTGAAATACTACTAATCAATTATATACATATATATCCTTGATGTGTAGCTACCAAAATTTATAATCAGTTAAAAGTATTAATGAAGAAAATAGAATAAAAATTATTAATTTAGATTCAAGTGATGTTTTAAATCTTGCTCCAATCCTTAACATCTTATGTTTACGTGATTATAGTTGTCACAATGACTCTTTGTTCGTGAACGACTCGTGTAAGCTCGCTAAGCAAACAAGCTGAACACAAACACACTTTCTGGGCGTGTTTGGCTCGTTTACACCCTTGATCCTTGCAAAAACATTATTATATATATATATAAACAATATTCTAATTTAGTGCACTCCAATCTTGAATATTTTGATTATAATTATAAATCAAAATTTCAAAATTTAAAATTTTAACTAATTTTTTATTTATAGTCTTTTTTTTTTTAATTTCTAGCCTTTTTTTTTTAACCAAAAAAATAAAAAATTAATCAATATTAGAACAAGACATACATACAAAATTAAACAACTTCACTAATTCAACTACCAATATTGATACATTTTGGTCAGCAATGTGCAAAAGTAAATTTAGACATATGACCCAAAAAATAAAATCAAGGTTGAAAAAATCAAAATAATTTAAATATAAATATATTTTATTAAATTTTATTTATTTTATATATGAAAATAAAATCATCAAATTTTAATGTTAAAAATTTAAATATGATATATCTGGTACATATATAAAATTTTCCCAAATATTTGTATTTTGATATTAGTATATATAAATATAAAAAGATGGGGTGGTAAGATGTAAATGTCCTAATTTGCCTTGGACAGGACTCATGGCCAAACTCAAACCAAGCGGCCACCCTTGTCCCCCTCCGCATTGCCCGCAACATGTTCGACGAAATGCTCCACCGAATCATCACCCAAAACCGCCCCACTCTGCAACTCGATCAGAACCTCGAGCACCTCCTTTATCGCCGGCCGCATCTCCCTATCTGCCTGCAGGCATCGACAAGCAAGCTCCGCCATGAGATCTATCGTCTTCCTCATCTCCACATCCGTATCGTACCCAAGCCATCGATCGACCAACTCATCCAAATTCCCAGTCTGAATCCTGTTCACCGCCATTGCCGACAGGTTTATCTCCGACCTCCCTCTGCATATATCAACCGCCGGCTTCGACGACAAGAGCTCCGCGAGCACGACGCCGAAGCTGTACACATCGCTCCGATCCGTCAGCTGATAGCTCCGGTGGTAGTCGGGATCGATGTACCCCGGCGTGCCCTGCGGCGCAGTGGCGATATGGGTTGCTCCGTCGCGGGGAAACGGTCTGGAGAGACCGAAATCGGCGAGTTTGACATGGAACTCTGCGTCGAGGAGTATGTTGACTGTCTTGATGTCTCGGTGGACGATGGGGGGATCGATGGCGTGGAGATAGCTAAGTGCGTCGGCGGTCTCGACGGCGATGGAGAGCCGGCGGGGCCATGTGAGATTACCTTCGGCGGCGCGGTGGCCGTGGAGATGATCGGCGACGGTGCCGTTGGGGACGAATTCGTAGACGAGGATGAGCTCGCGGTTTCTCGGCGAAGTGCAGCCGTAGAGGGACACTAGGTTTTGATGGTGGAGTCGGGAGAGGATCGCGATCTCGTTAATGAACTGTTCCGCTCCCCTGAATCTGTTCTCGTACAGGCGTTTCACGGCCACCGTCCGGCCGTCGCGAAGCGTTCCTGCGGCGGCGGAGGAATTGTTAAAAAAAAAAAGAAAAAGGTGAGATTTTGGATGAAATTTTGAATACCATTAGAGCAAATATTAGATCTGGACTCAATGCTGAGTCTCGTGTCAAATGGGCCCAATATAATATATTGAGATTTATCGTTGCTAAAATTTGTGCGGCCCACTTAACGCATGGCGTCCCTCTATTGGACTATGAATGTATCCAGAGTCTCTCAAATGGGCCCAATATAATATATTGAGATTTATCGGTGCTAAAATTTGTGTGGCCCACTTAACGCGTGGCGCCCCTCTATTGGACTATGAATGTATCCGGAGTCTTGATTTAATATTTTTTCACACGATTGTTTGTGTACAATGATATACAACATGATTGTACGGACAATGAACGCAATATTCTATGAGAATTTGTTAGTTGGGAGGATGAAGAACCTTTGTAGACTGAGCTGAAGCCGCCGTCGCCGACCTTCATGCCGGCGTCGAAGGAGCTGGTGGCTTCTCGGAGCTCTTCGTAGGAGAAGATCTGGGTTTGGTAAGGGCATGAGGTGATGTCAGAAGGTTTGGTTGATAATGGTGGTCTGGTGATGGCGGAAGTGGAGGAGAAGAGGGTGCAAGGCGGGGAGCATTGGCGGTTTCGTCGTGACCGGAGATGCCACCAGAAGCCGATGAAGCTAAGGATGCTGATGATTAGGATGACGGCGGCTATGAACACACCTGGTGTTGTTTTTTTCAAAAGAAGTTAGTTTGATAAAAGTGTGATTACTGCTAGAAAGTTACGGTCTAATTTTTTGAAATTATAATAAATTTGTAATAGTCACCGCAGCTTTTTGAAAGATAGATTCTTCTAAGTAGCTTCACATTTACTTCTTCAAACAGCTACAACTGCCTCAAATAGATAGTGAATCTACCTCTAATAAGTTAATTTAATTTCCAATCTTTCTTTCTCAAACTTGAAAAGTGAAAATTTTGGAGCATTGATTTGTTCTAACTAATTATAAATTAAAAAAAAAAACTCTTTTGGATTTTATCAATGGAAAGCATTAGAGTTCTAAACTTTTGAAATACCATGAAGAGATTATGATAATTGCAACTCACCAATTATAATCCCGTTGTTATCTTTCCTCTTTCCTGCAATAATAAACCATAAATCAAATAAAAAATAAGAATAAATCAAAGCAAAAAAAAAAAA